CAGCACCGCGCGGCCGCCCGGGTCACCAACGAGCCCATCCTCGAGTTCAAGCCGGGGAGCCCCGAGCGAGCGGCGCTGCAGAAGGTGCCAGCACAGGGATGGGGCTCCGGGGAATCTTGAAAGTCCTGGTTTTAAGGTCACGCAGCTACCTCAGGTTCTTTCCTGGGGTGGGGGAGGCCCCGTCCTGCCCAGCCCAGCTCCTTCCCTTTGGGGACAGCTGGAGCTGTAACTCCTGTTCCTCCTGCCTGAGGCCTCCCAGAGCCAGGGAACCCGAGGGAGCCCATCCCTGGCTTTCCCTCTGCTGGATGAGCTGGCAGGAAGGGTGGATGGAGGGGAGGGTGGCTGGTGGGGGTCCATGTGTGCCCACCGTGGTGCTCTCCTCTCACCTAGGCACTTGCTGAGCTGAAGGGCAAGACTGAAGCCATCCCTTGCGTGGTCGGGGGAGAGGAGGTGTGGACACCGACAGTGCGGTACCAGCTGTCGGTGAGTCTGGGGATCAGCCCCTGTTTCACAGTGAGAGCTGGGCAGGGGGTGTCCCTGGGGGGGAGAGAGGTCTGTCTGACTGATAACTACAAGGCCTTCCTTCTCTTTTCAGCCATTTAATCATGCACACAAGGTGGCCAAGTACTGCTACGCTGATAAGGTGAGTACACCTCACTGCCTTCCTGCCATTTTTTGAGGATGCAGCAACGTTTTGGCTGGGTTTTGTGAGCCTAATCTCAGAGCAGGGTTGCAAGGCTTGTGTTGTGATGAGCTTTGAGGCTGCAGCTGAGGAGTGTGGATGAAACACAAAGTGCTGCTCAGGTTGTGAGCAAGGAGGCTCTGGGGTTGGGTGGTGGCTTTCCAAGTCCTAGGAGTCCTGGGACAAATCAATAGGAGGAGCTGCAAATTTGGGGTTGCAAGGGGAAGGTGCTGCTGTGGTTTGTGCCTCTTCATTTCCCCTCCAACCTGGTAATGGAGAGGTGGTGGGCTCCTCCTTGCTGACTTTCCCCTTTTCTTCTGCAGGAGCTCATTAACAAAGCCATTAATGCTGCCTTGGCAGCAAGGAAGGAATGGGACCTGAAACCTGTCCAGGACCGAGCCCAGATCTTCCTGAAGGCAGCTGACATGCTGAGTGGCCCGAGGCGAGCAGAAGTGCTGGCCAAAACCATGGTTGGACAGGTAAGAGGGATGTGGGATTGAGCCAGCAGATAGCTGGGACAAATGGAAGGGAATCTGGGGAGTTGGGGAAGCGGGGCAGGAAGAGCTGTCAAGGTATTTTTGGGGATTGGGAATGTCTGTAATGTTAGAAATGCTTGTAGCTGGGCTGCAAGGGGACACTGGCTGGTCCTGACACTGATCCTTGCCTCTTTGCTGAGAAGGAAGGGAGTAAAGCTGAGAGACCTTAAGCTTCCTAGGAACAGGATCAACTGGTGCAGTTATCAGGGTTTCCCCTTGGGAATTGCCCCAGCAGCCCTGGCTTTCCCAAGGGAGGCACTGGGGGGACACGGGGTGGATGTGACATCCCCTGGCACGGGCACGGGCTGCATTTGCCTGCCTAGGTGGGAAGGAGAGGTGGCAGGATGTGGGCTTGCAGGAGGCTGCACCACTGCAGCTCACAGCTGCTGCATTGTCCTCACACCCTCCTGTGCCTTGGTCTGATGTGGCCTCTCCTGGCAGGGGAAAACTGTCATCCAGGCGGAGATCGATGCTGCTGCTGAGCTGATCGACTTCTTCCGGTTCAACGCCAAGTACGCCCTGGAGCTGGAGAACAGCCAGCCCCTCAGCGTGGACATCAGCACCAACAGCATGGTCTACAGGGGGCTGGAGGTGAGGAGAAGGGCTGGGGCTGTCCCCCTGCTCCCTGGTTTTTGACTCCTAGCTGTGGTGTCACCTCCTTTCCCCTCCCACCCGCAGGGTTTCGTGGCAGCCGTTTCTCCCTTCAACTTCACGGCAATTGGTGGCAACTTGGCAGGGGCTCCAGCCTTGATGGTGAGTGTCCTGGTGGGGTTTGAGGATGGAGGGGACGGTCTGGAGGAAGGTTGGAAAGTGGACTCGCTCTGTCCAAGGCTGTGGTTTGTCTGGTTTGGGATCCATGAGAAGCAGATGAGGCCCCTTGAATTAAATCAGCTGCTTTGCAATTAGACTCAGGTGTTTTTAATTGCAATGAGGCATTCCAGTGTCTTAGGCCTGTCCACTGTTGGGCAAGTGTGATGCGGGAAGTGTTGGAAAAGGAAAAACTACCCAAACCTGCTCTTCTGGGGGTTTTATGCTAAAGCAAGTTGGCTTTTCAGTCAGGCTGGAGAGAAGGTCAGGGTGGGACAGCAGGAGGTAAGAAGTGCAGCAGGGTTTGTCTTCCTTCTTGGTGTTTGCTCTGTGAAGGGGCTTCAGGGAGCTGTGGTGACACAAAAGTGCCATCAATTTGTAATTGTTTGGGTTCCCCTTGGAGGACACTTTTTGGGTCTTGCAAGTGAGTTGGGGTGAGGGAGGAGAGAGTGGGTTGTGGCCCTTAGCACAGAGTTGGGAGGCTGGAGATCCTGGCAGACATGAAAAATGGGACAAAAAGTCCAAGTTTTGGTAAACAGCATTTCTCTATGTGTCCATCCCAATGATCACCTGCCTTTGCAGGGTGGGTTTTGGGGAGAAATGATAATAACATGATGCATTTGGGCCAGGATTAATTAATTTACTGTTGCACTGGAGAAAAAAAAAAACAACAAACAAGACATAATTGGCCTGAGCTCTTTACTAATTTGGCTGTCTGGAGGAAGGTTGGAAAGTGGACTCGCTCTGTCCAAGGCTGTGGTTTGTCTGGTTTGGGATCCATGAGAAGCAGATGAGGCCCCTTGAATTAAATCAGCTGCTTTGCAATTAGACTCAGGTGTTTTTAATTGCAATGAGGCATTCCAGTGTCTTAGGCCTGTCCACTGTTGGGCAAGTGTGATGCGGGAAGTGTTGGAAAAGGAAAAACTACCCAAACCTGCTCTTCTGGGGGTTTTATGCTAAAGCAAGTTGGCTTTTCAGTCAGGCTGGAGAGAAGGTCAGGGTGGGACAGCAGGAGGTAAGAAGTGCAGCAGGGTTTGTCTTCCTTCTTGGTGTTTGCTCTGTGAAGGGGCTTCAGGGAGCTGTGGTGACACAAAAGTGCCATCAATTTGTAATTGTTTGGGTTCCCCTTGGAGGACACTTTTTGGGTCTTGCAAGTGAGTTGGGGTGAGGGAGGAGAGAGTGGGTTGTGGCCCTTAGCACAGAGTTGGGAGGCTGGAGATCCTGGCAGACATGAAAAATGGGACAAAAAGTCCAAGTTTTGGTAAACAGCATTTCTCTATGTGTCCATCCCAATGATCACCTGCCTTTGCAGGGTGGGTTTTGGGGAGAAATGATAATAACATGATGCATTTGGGCCAGGATTAATTAATTTACTGTTGCACTGGAGAAAAAAAAAAAACAACAAACAAGACATAATTGGCCTGAGCTCTTTACTAATTTGGCTCAGATTTCATCCTGGCATCAAAGATGGTCCCTGCAGCAGTAGTGGCCTGTGCTGGAGATGTAATAAGGGAAATCACCAGGCTTTTAATTTGGGGACATCATGTTTTAAGGTGAAGCATTTGAACCTGTTGCTTCTCTGGGGGAGGAGCAGGGCGGAGGAGGGAAGGGGATTTAAACCACCATGGAGCTGGGAAGTGTTTTGAGGGAGGGAGAAGCATTCCTCCCACCTCAGATCAGAGGAAGGTCCTTGGCGTTGGGGCATCTGGTGATAAACTCATCCCAGAGTGGTTGAACCTTGCTGGCCAAGCCTGTGTTGGCAGCTTGGGGTGAGGGGTTGGGAGCATCCTGCAGTGCATCCCCCTCTCCCTCCTCAAATCCAGTGTCAGATTCCCACCGTGTTGCTGCAGGGCCATGGAATTCCCCTGCTCCCCCGGGGGCAAAGGGGAGAAGGGCATCAGGGAGTGACCGAAGAGCTCAGCAGCAGGTGATTAAATTAAATGTAGGAGAAAATGGTACTTAATAGGTGGATATTAATTAAAGCCCCAGTGTTTTAGTCCCCACAGTGCACTTCCCAGGAGTTAAACATTGCTCTTGCTGGAGAGATCAGCCTGGTTAATGCCACTGCAGTGTCAGGAGCAGGATTTCCTCAGGACTGGAGCAGTTGTCCCAGCACACCAGTGTCCGTGTTGCCAGTCAGGTTTCCCAACTGCCTGGAGTTTTTTTTTCCAGAGTGTGGTTTTGTTTTCTCACCGTTGGGAGTGGAAGGATTAGAGGGGCCCAGGAAGGAGCTTTGCCTGCACCACCAGTCCCTGGAAAGCAGGTGCTTGGGTGAGACAGAGGCCAAAAATCCTCCCCTTGGGGCTGTAACCCTGCAGCACAGTCACATGTGGATGGGGCTGAGCTGTGTGACAGTGACAGGGGAGGCCACTGGGCACCCAGCAAGGAGCTGAAGGGAGGGCAGTGGCTCAGAGCCAAAGGGGGTGGCATGTCCCTGCAGCCTCTCAGTGCTGTGTTTTCTTTCCTGCCAGTGGTGCTGTTTGTGCAGTGATCCCAGTGTCAGGTGCAGTGTCCCTGCTGGCACAGGCCCTGCAGGGTCATGCGAAGAGCAGCGACTGACGCTGCTCCCGGTGCCGCTGGAGCCTTCCTGGGCAGCCCTGCCCTGGCTCCTGAGACATAAAATAAGTCCCACATTTCGAGGCTCCTCTTTAGGGAAAGGAAAGCTCTGCCTTCCCAGGCAAGGGGGATTGTGAAGGGCTGACACAGTGACTCGGTGGGTGAAAAGGGAGGATTTTGATCCTTCAGCTGAGTGGTCACACTTCTCTCTAATGCTTGGGGTGAAGGGTGGGTGTGGATCACCCAGAGGTGCCATTGCTCCTGTCCTGTCCCCTGTGGGCTGCAGGACAAACTATTTTATATATATTTTTAGCATCATTAAGGTTGGAAAAACCTTCTTAAGATCATCAAGTCCAACAGTCAGCCCAACACACTGTGCCCACTAACCCATGTCCCTCAGCACCATATTTACATGGCTTTGAAATCCCTCCAGGGATGGTGACTCCACCAAGAATCACAAGGCTGGAAAAGACCTTTAAGGTCATCAGGTCCAGCCTATGACCTCTCACCACCACATCAACCAGACCATGGCAGTAAGACCATTCAGCCTTTCCTTGAACACATCCAGGGATGGTGCCTCCACCACTTCCCTGGGCAGTCCCTTCCAATGTCTGATCACCCTTTCCATGAGGAAGTGCTTCCTGATATCCAACCTAAACCTCCCCTGGGGCAGCTTCAGGCCTGTCACTGGTTGTCTGGGAGAAGAGCCCAGACCCCACCTAACCACAGCCTCCCTTCAGGTAGTTGCAGAGAGAGAGAAGGTCCCCCCTGAGTCTCCTCCAGGCTCCACTGCCCTGGGCAGCCTGGGCCAGGGCCTGACCCTTCCAGTAAATAAAACTCCAGGATGTTGAAGCTTTGCACACCCGTGTTTGGGCTGGAGCTTTCCTGGGAGGAATATAGGACAGTTGTCAGAGGATGTAGGGAGGCAACTGGGAAAGCTAAGGCCTCCTTGGAACTTAACCTTGCAGGTTAGGTCAAGGACAATAGAAAGGGCTTTTTCAAATACATAGCTGACAAAACTAACACTAGAGGCAATATTGGCCCACTGATGAATGAGGTGGGAGCCCTGGTGACAGAGGATATAAAGAAGGCAGAGGTGCTGATGCCTTCTTTGCCTCTGTCTTTACTCCTGCAGACTCTCCCAAGGAGCCCCAGATTCCTACAGCCCCAGAAGAAGTCAGGATAAAGGAGGAGTTTGCCTTGGTAGATGAGG